GCTGCTCGCACTGTATGCTTCCCGGGAAGCTGAGAATGTTTCGGAGTGTTCTATGGTCTGCTGGGGTAATAATATAGTGTAAAGCGCATAGAGCCTGCTGCTGAGCGGGGATATGCGCTATACAAATGCTATTTATTATTTATTATTATTATTATTCTCCTTAGAACTGTTTTGTGGAGATTTTAAATCCGTCCCAGATCTTGACAAAAGCGTAGCAACTGGACCCGTGCAAAGAGTCAGTAAGTTTGGAAAAGAGATTAAAGAAGATAGAGATTATAAACCTAGTGAACATCGTTCATGTAGGTCTACACCAGAGCATTACTGACGCTCATGTGAGGAATCCCATTATCAAAGTGATTGCTCCTTCTGCCGGTGTGTCGTGGATCTTTGTAATCAACAAAGGAGAGTGAATGAATCAATTTGTATTAGAGATGTATTGTTTTATAGTTGTATATTACTAAAGGATAGTATAATATAACTGTACCTGTAAGTGTTTTTACGCTCCATTCGACAGAATTTAGATCATTTAGGAAGCGGCCTTCTGACCGTAAATGTCAGGGAAAACTGGGCTGTACGATTTGAGAACAAAACATCCATCACCGATAGGACCCAACCTACCGGATGGGGAACACTGAAAACTCCAAAAACAAAATTAAAGAATGTCTCGCTTTAGATTCGAAACAACAGTAATTCACACGACTGTCCAGTTGACATCAGCTTAGCTGGCGTAGCACCTTCTTCTTTGTGCGGAATCTTAGAAATAACAACACTTATTTAAAATAATAATAATAATAATAAAAACAGCACAAATTACCGATTCATTCGCTCCATCTCAGGAGGACATACAATGTCTCCTTCATTGGGACGTAAGCAAGGGTCGGAAGGGTAATAAGGTGTGACCCTATTAAACCGGAACACGTCACAGTCTTTTACTTCTGTCCTGCCTGCCGGGGGCAAAAGGTGGGCTTGCTGAAAGCCCGGTGCATGTATAGCCTCCATGTCTCTATTTTCACTCAGTGCAGATCTTAAAGAACGCAGGTGTTTTAGATCCTAGACAACACCGAAAAATGGCTTGTGAGCCTCCAGGAGAGTTTTCAAGTTAAAAAGTTAGTCTGTGGGGAAAAGAAAATGAAAAACTATGGTCACCATCACCATCATCATCATCAACATCATCATCATCATCAACAACAACAACAACAACAACAACAACAACAACAACAACAACAACAACAACATAGGTTGTCTTATACTGTACTATTTTTTGCAACGCAGAGTCGTTTTAGGGGACAGAATTAGGGGAAAGAATAAGTGGACTAGACGCACTGCCTTTATGGAATCTGTTCAGATGAATTTGTACAGCTTTCAGTTCATCTGAGCTTGTTGCAGTTTAGGGTCTCTATGCGTTGGGACTACTTCTTACCTACGAAATTCCCCTGATACCAAAGTTATATTCTATTATTTGTTGCTTTACGTTTCACAACATAACCCTACACCTAACAAAATAAATAATGGTACCCAAAACCAAACAATAGTTTTAAAAAAAACAACAACCTCCCATGCTGTTTCTTCCCCCTTTGGTCGTCTATCTACCAGCCACAAGTAGTTAAAAAAACAATAGAAGTCTATATTAGATTACAAACCTACTTCCACCACTGGTTGGGAGTTGGGTTTGGGGGTCGGCTGATAGGAGACGACAGGGGTCTGCACTCTACAGATGTACTCAGGTTTGATGGAAACGCTTGTGGGATTTGATCTCCTACTTCCGGGTTAAGAACACACTGGTTCCGGCTCTTGAGTTGTTCCCCTTCCAACACCTGGGTTCTTAACCAGCTAGCTCGATCCGGGTTGAAGTGGTCGGGCTGAACACGACTGAAACGGAACACGTCACCGGTTTCGGTCTTTGGGTGTCCGGCTGGACACAAAAGGTGGGCCCGCTGTCTGAAATGTAACATTTATTAGTCTCCGCTACTCCCCTCAGTGTCGCACTCTTTTGTTCCCTACTGAGAGAACCTAAACAGATGGGTCTGGTAACGAAGAAAGATCAGAGAGTAACGTAGCTTTTTTAACAGCATCCGAGCAAAGGAATGAATGGAGAACCATGCTCGTCGATGTCTGCCGCAAATGTGACAGTTGATGATGATGAGTGTCCGTTAAATAGGATAAGATAAGATAAGACACGATAAGAGAGAGAGAGAGAGAGAGAGAGAGA